GAGAGAGAGAGACAGAGAGAGAGCAATACGAGTACGCTTTTGCTGTGGTGAGCTATGTTGAGATGGTAAACAATCCCATACTGATAAATCAAGAAGCGGAGAGCCAAAAGTATCTCAAGCACTCGGCCACGAATATCAGTGTATCTGAGATGAGCCTGCTCCTCATTCCACCATGACTCCCAGCTTCTTTCTGGTTGGATACCGATCCCTCCACGATTCCCCATCCATCGCTTCCAATCTGTCCAATCATCCACAGTCTTCTGCCAATCAAACCCAGAAGGGTTGAAGAGAAATGGGGCAAAGAGCCATGAGGCAACCAAGAACCACATCGAGAGAGTGATGAAAAGATAAACATTTGAGCTACGGTATGTATGCCCATAGACTTGGTACACAACCAGCAGTATCATGAGCTCGAGTCCTTTAACAAAGTGACTGCGAGAGTACATCCGGTAGTTGTCGCCAAATTTTGCATGGAAAACCACGAACCCACGACCTGTAGCTCTATATTTGGCACCACCATGCAATATTGTCCTCCCATAATAATGTGCCTTTGTTCCTAGCTGGAAGGTGAAGAAAACAGAAGCTAGTTGCAACTGCATGATAATAAAATCACCCAAGGCAGTTCGGAATCCTCTCTCAAGTCCGATCTCCATCACCATTGGAAGAACAAGTAACAAGCCGAGCTGGAAAACAGACTGAGATGCCAGAGCTGCTTCAAGAAGTTTAAGTTGTTGGATGTTAGCATCCTCCAAAATTGCCCTTTCTAGACCACTCAGTACCAGATACAGACGCCCATAGAGGAAAACATAGACAGTGAGCACAGTCACCTAGAAAGCAGAGACATTGCCAGTGAGGCTTTAGCTCTCAATGTAAAATGTGCTGAATATAATGCTCAAGTTTTGGAAAACAAGAGTTTGGAAAATCAAGAAGACAATTTTTTTTTTTTTTTGGTATTCATCCTTCTTTTTATCCATGAGGAAGATGTCTAAATAGAGTGTGTGTGTTATCTTTACTGATAAATGCCATTCTCGCCCAAAAAATAGGGAAAAAGAAAATGAGTAATTTAACTTCTTTCTGCTGAAGTGTTGCTGTTCCAAAATTAACTATCCATATACGCACCATGCTGCTGAAGTAGAAGCCAACTGTTGTGACATAAAAAGATAACATCCTGTAGAAATCGAAGCGGCGGCCCAGACGATAAACATCACGGCTAAGTGTCTGTTCACCATTTCCATTAGACACCTTTGCCTCAAATTGTGATATTTGATTCATTCCAACATCACGACCCTTTCCCACTTGCATATACTCGTGGTGGGTTATAACACCCCCACGTAAAGTCGAATTGAATCCTGTGGAGCAAACCATAATCATATTTTAAAAACACTGTAAGTGACGCTGAGCAAGATTTCATTTAGAAAGAGAGCCTCTCAACAGCTATAGGCAGGACCTGACAATGTATAAAGCATGATCAAATCATAAAGATCTCACGAGGTCTTTTAGTCCTTTCATATAACATAGGTCAGGAGCGGCATATTGAGTAGCTGCTCCATTATAAAAGGTACGTGCTAACAATGGCTCTGTTGACATTTTTAACCATTAAGAAATGCAGCCCAACCCACACAACTTAAAATTGCAAAGAATAACTATACCTGAAAATATATCTTCACTCAGATTAATGATTCTTGAAGCTTTGCTGACACCACCTCTGGTTAGATGAAAGATCCTATCGAACACATCAGGATGGCCATAGTGGAATCTAACTCTGAAACAACCAAAATAAACTCACATATTCAACACATTGAGTTCGTTTATACATATCACAAAGACGACTTTAAGTCAAGAATACAACTAGTAGATATAGTAGGCATTTTGACAAAAATGATAAGAATTCTACATAATACATAAAATTCCTGAATTTAGGAGAAACATGGTCATATAGAATCTTTCATGATTTCCTCGATGTATTGGTGACGGTGGCACTATCCAGCCAATTAAGGCCGAGATTGGTTTCAAAAGGTTTCACTCAAACTAAGTGTATAGATTATAAAGAGAATTTTGTCCCAATAGCAAAGTAGAATATGGTTAGAATCATTCTATTTGGCTGCAGATAAATTTTCTTGGTCTTGGCCTCAGCTGGATGTAAAAAAATTCTTTTTTGCATGGAGATCTTCATGAGGTTGCCCAACGTTTTTAGCTTCAGCAAGAGACAGGAACATTGAAAAAATTGAAAAAGGCGATATATGGACTTAAACAATCACCAAACGCCTGGTTTGAGAAATTCAGTGAAGCCTTGCTAAAAATTGGGTTTAAAAGGAGTCAAGCTGATAATACACTATATGTGAGGGAAATGGGTGTTGGGCATACAACAGCCATAACGTATCTTGACGATATAATAACAGGGGATAGCTTAGCAGATATTGAAGATCTTAAATATTATATCAGAAAAGTGTTCGATATAAAAGATTTGGTCCAGTAAAATAATTTTTGGTTATTGAAGTGGCAAGATCAAAGAAGGGGAATCAATATCCCTTAGAGGAAGTATGTGTTGGATCTGCTAAAACAAGCTGAAATGTTGGAGGCCAAACCAAAGTATACACCTATGGAAACCAATCATAGACTTCATGAACAAATAGGAGGTTACTTAAGGATCCAATTTAATATCAAAGGCTTGTTGACAAGCTTAGATAGCTTACAATTACAAGACCAAATATTTTTTATATGGCTAAGAAGGGTGATGACCTTAAACTTTTCCTTAAGTCATCCCATGCCCTAGTAAAGGGGTGGGTTGTGTTAGTTAGATAGCCAGCGTAAAATTTTGTCAAAAATCATCATGAATCCTGAAACTAGTACGACCTTAATAGAGCAGAATAGTGAACCAGGATTCGTGTAGCCACCCCAATTAATTGGAAAAAGGCTATGATGATGATGATGATGACATTTCTTATATTATTAGTATAGCTTGTCGGTTCATGCATGCCCCTCAAAAAACCTCCATTAAGATGTTGTCTACAGTATCCTAAAATATCTCAAGTCATCTCCTGGTAGAGGGTTGTTGTCTGCTAATCATGGTCATATGGGTGTTGCACTACATGTTATTGTACCTTTGTTGGTGGGAATCTGGTTTCATGGAAGAGTAAAAAACAAAATGTGGTAGCAAGATCAAGTGCCGATGTATAATGCCTAACTATGGTACATTTGGTTATGTGGGTGATAACTATATTGGCTAACCTTGGAGTTAAAAGTTCAGTTACCTATGACTCCTTATTGTGACAATGAAGGAACTGTTCATATTGCTAAGAATCCCGTATTTTATGAGAGAACAAAGCATACTGGGGTAGATTGTCATTACATAAGGGAAAACATTGCAACCAGAATTATTTGTACTCATCTGAAAAAAATCAAGGGATCAGTTAACAGATATCTTTACTACAGCAGTGGCTTGTGATAGACTGCAAAATATAGCAGTCAAATTGTGCATGATTGATATTTATGCTCCGGCTTGAGGGAGAGCTTTGCAAGTACAGCAGTTAGGGGTATAAATGGAATTATTGAGTCTACAGGGTTAAATGTGAGTTTTAAACTCACGTACGGATATTTTCTGTAACTTTGCTCATCAATACTAATAATATAAAATATATGACTGACCAGGAAAGGATCACATCATTTTCTCTCTCTCATTCTCATGTAACTCTCTCCTCTCTCGCTCACGCACTCTCTTCCCTCTCTTTATTGCGTCTCTCCATTCCTCTTCCTTCTTCAGTAGAGAGAGTAGACATACATCATATATATTTCAACTTAGGATGGAGGCCCAATCCGATTTTGGAAGGAACTCTAGGTTGGGATCAATGTTCTTCCAAAGCATTCCCCTCCCTATTTCTCTAGCTTCAAAAATTCAGGAGCATATCTCGGAATCCTTTGACCTAATTATAGGCCATGTGATATGCCACCTGGTACCTTGGCTCGATCTCAGACGAAGAAGCTTTAGCCTTCCAAGCATACACTATGAAATTTGGTGCCTGAACACACATCTAGTACATCATCAGTAAAATCCCTATACAGAACAATCATCAGCCCAACACCCCTTCCCAAGAAAACAATTTGGACATTACTGCCCCACCCAAAACACAAGCCTTTGGTGGCTTGCAAGTTGGATGAAGTACTCATGAACGAACATCCACATCATAGAGGCCTACCCATACCCAAACATTGTGTAATGTGCTATTAATTACTTATAGGTAACTAACTACATTCGGTCCTATTTCCTCCAACTCCTCAATATGGTTTGGGTATATTCAGAGGCAGTCCAAACACTTTTTACAAGCTGGATACCCAAACCGTTACCTCCCCCTGGCCTTCTTTGGAAATATTATCATTTTGAGCTCAGATTGTTTCGAGCTTAACCACAGAAAAATGCACAACATATACAATTGTTCAAACACCCTCAAGGGAAAAACCAAGGCCTCGTAATGTTTGATACATAACAAAGGAATTTTGGGATTTAACATTCGCCAAGTTCGATTCCCATAGGCATGGGATCATCCATAACCTCAGTCTACGCAATGAGGCCATCCATCACGATGGATTCCACCAACTGGATCTGTTGAAATGAATTTGCTTGATCGTCCAAATGCAATATGACCCCTGCTGGGGTGAGTGGTGCCTTTGGAGACAACCTCAGGCAATCTATACTGACTTTCCCTAAACTAGAACCCATGGTCACTCTAACAAGGCAGAAGGTCTTGCCTTTTTGGGAGGTATCGCAATATATGACCATAGACCGGGACCACTGACAACTCCTCCAAGTAATTGCAAGCACTAGCCAGGAAAGCAATCCACCATGGCATCTCAAATCCATCTTTGACAAGTATTTCAAAATATCTTCAGTTTGTCAACTCTCCCTCCAACACATGCCGTGAATCTAGAGGGCTGGTCATCTCTCTAGCGAATCTGGGAGTCAACACATCCCTCACTGCTCGATGATGTGGAGCCTCAAATAATCCAGATTTTTGTTTCTTTCCAGTGAACAATTTGGATTTCAGTATAGGCATAATTGAAATTCAAACACAAAATAAAAAAGAGAGAGATCAGCTTAGTCAATGAAGCCATGAGGCATCATGGCTTCAAGAAAAAAAATATGATTTGGAGGAAATATTACTTTGGAAAGAAATCAGTCAACTAATTAAGCAACATGTATTATGCCAGTGTAAACCATAGCACAAGGAGTTTTAAAGAAGGATTTTGCATCGACTAATCCATTTAATAGAATATTTACCTAAACTGCAAAATTTTATGACTCTTTCAACCTAAAAAAGAAAACCAAGGAGTCCATAAATCAAAAGGTTATCATGAAAACACCCAAGATGAGCATGTTTAGAGAGTGATTGTTGAAGAATTAGTCATCACTATAATGTATTTAAGTCTCTAAGGACCTATTTGTTCTTTTTTCCACAAAAGGACAATCTTGTAGAGCAAGTAAATGTTTCATAACTAATATAAATAAATATATGAGAGGTGTTGGAGGTCAGAGGAACCTAACATCACCTTTTGTCTTTCTTCCTCTCTCATCGTTCTCTTCCATCCTCATTTTTTCTCTCATTCATTTCTTCATCTTTTTTCTTTCCTTTTTCTCCATCGTTCATTATTTACTGTTGTATTTTAACTTGGTATCAGAGCAAGAAGCTTTGTGGGGTTTTTTGAAATCCTAAAGATGTGATTTGGCCGTGCTAAAGTCTCCTAAAGATGTATTGCCAAAAACTCTAGATCTGAGAAAAGGTATGGAATAGAAGAAAAATTAAAGTTTCATGCTCGTTTCCTCGATTTTTTTTATGGGGTTCAGAAACTCTCGATTTGGTTGTCATGGACCTATGATGTTAAAGTTTGTTGCCAAACCATTTGTATGAATCAAATCATTGTTTGTAAATTGTAAAACTCAGTTTTTTTCGAGATCTCTTGTATGGATGATCTCGGATCCTCATTCAAAGTATACTTGAGTGGCTGGTTGTGTTGAACAACATGTATTATTCAATGAAAAAAATTATTTAGAGTGGCTAAAATGTTCATAGGTGGAAGGTAAAAGATGGGGTATATCAATGGTAAGGTTATTTAACCCGAAGAAACATATTCAGTACATAAGAAGTGGGAAATTTTAAACCTCACTATCATATCTTGCTTGCTACACTCATGCAGCCATCGATTAGTAGGGATCTTTTGTTTCTTTGAATTGCAAAATAGATTTGGGACTTTGCATATCAAACTTACCCTTATAACAAGAATCTGGCTCGAGTGTATCAACTAAGGCACGATCATTGTTCAAAAAAACGGACCGCCTAGCGCCTAGGCGGTCCAAAAGGCCTGGGCGCATCACCCAGGCATAAGAGGGCAAACTGGGCGGTGGTCCTCGGGCGGCCGCCAGGGCGGTACAGAACCCGCCTAGGCGACCGCCCAACGCCCAGCCCTGGGCGGTCGCCCAAGGCCTGCACCCTGCCTAGAGGCGAAAAAGTAATTTTTTTGTTTTGTTTTTCTTTTTTTTCAAGATATAAAAGTTTATAACGATGGGTTTTAGGTTCATTTGAAACCTAAACCCACAAGAACCCCTTTTAGAGAGAAAGAAACCTTTAAAAAACAACATTCCATTAGATCGAAGTGTTTTTTAAAGTTTGGAGTTCGAGCAACCAAAGTAAATGCAAAGCTTTATTTTTTAGATTGCTTGTTTTATGTTGAGATGTCTTCTTCAAGAGTTAGTCGGAGTGGAGATCCGGGTTG